TGCTTCCGTGGAATATTTAGTAGGAAGGAAATTTCATGGATGGAAAGGTGGCAACCTATCACAGTACCACGCTTGAAATCACTGAGCTCCTGAGAACGACCCATTCTTTCACAAATGTTTGTAGAAGCAGTCTGCATGCCTAGGTGCTTGATTTTATACACCTGTGGCCATGGAGGCGATTGGAACAACTGAATCCAATGATTTGGAGGGCTAGCCCAATACTTTTGACAATATAGTGTACATGCTGCAATTTTGATCCGGTCAAAAAAAGGGTCCTGTGCGAGTTTAGTGTGGTTGTGGTACGAATTTCATCTCCTACTATGTTCAGTCCCCTCAGAAATCGCATACAATTTGCACCTGTCACAACAGAAAGTGTACTGTGATACTACATTATGAAACCACATCAAATTCGCACTGCATTAGTGTGAACTGGCACTGAAGCCACTGTTGATACCTGTTGATTGATTGAAGAAACAGCTGCATATATTTGTGCTGGGCACAAGTTGGGCAGCAAGAGACCAAATACCCAAATGCCTTTTGATATCTATAGAGAGGAGGCACGAAGATAATATTTGTGATTCTGCACAGTTTGGAGGATCCACCTTTTTTTTTTTTTGTGTGTGTGCTGTCCCATGTCTCATGACCAGGAACAGAACTAATTTGCTTTCTAGAATGTTTTTTGTGTCTGCTAGCTGTTTAGTATAGATTTTCAGGTTCAGCCCTGGTTCACACTAATGCAGTGCGGCACATCGTATGTGATTTGCACAGGTACAACACCACATTCCTGTGCAAATCACATGCAATGTTTGTGCGGTGCAATTTGAGCCATACATTTTGAGCCATCACATTGCATCTGCACCAAAAAGGTGCAGGACCCTTTTTTTCCCCTGCACCTGATTTGCATCCCATGCGATGCAAATTCTTGTTATTGCACTGCGTTTTGCAATCTGTTTCGGGGTGTCATTAATTTAACCACTTCCCAACTGCCCTATAGCAGAATTACTGCTACAGGGCAGCACAGGTGTGCAAAATCATGTGTATATATGTGATTTTGCATTTCCAGGTAGGAGGCGCACGCCCTACCCGTGCCACCATTTGTGGCCACAGCTGTCAATCACCGTTCCTGGCCAGTGATTACTCACCAGCGCCCAGTGATTGCTGAGCATCTCCGAGCAATACAGTTCTCCTCCCTGTCAGCTCGTGCACACAGCACAACCATGCAAAGCATTGTGATTACAGTGAAGCACACACAGCACACAGTAAAACAGCACACTGTTAACCCTTCCTGCCCAGTGCCATTAGTACAGTGTCAGTGCTTTTTTTTTTTTTTTTTAAGCACTGCTCACTCTATTAGTGTCACTGGGAATGTCAGTGATACCACGTCAGTTCCCCCCAGTCTCAGAATGCCTGCTGCAGTTCCACTATAAGTCGCTGATTGCCGCCATTACCAGTAAAAATTAAAAAAAAAAAAAAAAAACAGATATACACTGCCATTTGTAAACCCTATAACTTTCTTGCAAAACAATTAATTTACATGTATTGGGATTTTTTTTAGCAAAGACATGTAGCAGAATACATTTTGGCCTAAATTTATGACAAAATGTGATTTTTAAAAATGTTTTTACTGGATATGTTTTACAGCAAAAAGTCAAAAATATAAATTTTTTTCTCACAATTGTTACTTTTTTTATAGCGCAAAATATAAAAACCGCACAGGCGATGAAATGACACCGAAAGAAAGCTCAATTTGTGGGAAAAAAAGGATGTAAATTTAATTTGGGTGCAGCGTTGCATGACCGTGCAACTGTCAGTTAAAGTAACGCAGGGCTGTAACGCAAAACATGGCCTGGTCAGGAAGGGGGGGTAAATCGTCTGAAGGGCAAGTGGTTAACATTGACATCCATACCAGATTGCATGGACACTGTGCAACTGCAATGCGGTGCGGTACCTGTGTGAATCACATGCGATGTGCTGCACTGCATTCGTGTGAACCAGGGCTCAAGCTGAATTAAGAAACGGATCTGTAACTTGTACATTGAGTAGAATTCTTATTGTCCTTAGGCATAATAGAATTATGGGCTTCTTGAGTATGCGTCATGAAGGGGAGGACTTGGAAATTACATACCGTATATAGGTCTTCTTTAAAATTGGAAAAAGTTGCATTGTGGCTTTCAATAAAAAGTTCCCAAGAGGCCATTTGAGCTCGGGTTTTTGTTAGCTGGTAGTTTAATGGTCGTTTCCAATCCCTCTATTGTAAAAGAGGAAGCCAGATGTTGTTTTGCCGTCTTATTAGTTCAGGCAAGAGCTGCCTGTTTATTATAGGCAAGCCTGATATACATCCAGTAGAAGGTTATGTATGTTGAAGAGTAATAGTGACAAAAAGCTTCTGCTCTGCACTCTGATTGATGTTTAAATTAAATAAATGTGCAAGCCTGTTTGGCTTTTACAGTATGTGCTAGCATTCTGCTACATTTATCACCATATTTATATACTGCCTGTGATGAAGCATCTCAGTGTTTTAAATAACTCTGATTGAGAACTTGGTTTAGTTGCATGCAATGTTAAATGATAAGTAAATTGGATGTGCATGTCGTAGTAGTTTGAATCGTAGTATTTTCATGTTTCATTTCTATAGTATGTATATCAGCAGGTAATTTGGTGCTTTTATATGCTCTTTCTCTTTATTCTGGCCCCTTAAGCAATAAGTTGATTGATCTCAGTTGTGCTCTAGTATGTGGAGGGTGTAATGTAAAGACAACTGGGTCATCATGCTGCTCCAGGGAGGAATAAGTAGGCAAGGAAAGTGGTAGAGAAAAGTGAAAACAGGATGAGAGAGAAACATATAGGGCATATTAGCCCTCTAGAGAAGACTTTGGGACGGGCATCCCAAAAAACAGATTACAAGATATTATTAGAATATTATACAGGAGCAGTTTTACGTGGCGCTTTACAAAATACAGTGATACAGAACAGTTACAAAACAATTCAAGACAAGAAGATTATGAGAGCCCTGCTTGTGTACACAATCTTAACCCCAGAATGACACAGTAACACATATATGCAGCGTCCAAGGTGTAGGCTTTATACCTAGGTGCCGCTCTCACCGAGATTCCTGGGTCATGTATTAACAGACGCGGGACTCCTGGTTCCTGATCACCTGATGGCCTTTTTTTTTTCACTATTTTGGGCCAATATTCCTTTAATAATAATAAAAAAAAATCAGGATATATTACCTTTTACCACCAAATGAAAGCCCAATTTGTCCTGAAAAAAATCAAGGCATAATCCACCAGGATACACACAGTAGTTGTGATGATATGTACAGTTTTACTAACATGTCAAATTACAAAATTGGGTCTGATTTTTAAAGTTTGTTTTGTCCTCCGTCATGAAGGGATTAAAGGCTAAGTTCACCTTTTCAGAAAAAAGCCTGTGCAGTCAAGGGGCCCAAGTAGATAACAAAAATCTTTGCAGCTTTGTAAATTGATCATTAATTTGTTTTACCTATAAGCCATTTGTGTCCCCTCAGAAGCCTGGCTGAAAAACTGCTAGTTAGCAGCTTCCACATCCTACCATGTTGCCATGAAACAGAGTAAAATACTTCCACAAAAGTCAAGGCGCACAACCCCAGTACAAATTCCCTATGAAAGGGAAGCTACAACTTAGTCCAGTCGGTGAGACCTTATTCAGCAATTGAATCACATGGCTATATGGTTATAGAACGTGTTCATCCTGTCTGCTCCAACCATGATAGTAAATAGATCATCCTAAAGCATGATGTAAGGAGATATATTGTCCGGAAGGGGTTAAGATGAAAGGGTCAAAAGGGATAATACCTGATATCATTAAATTAGTCATTGGACCGGTTTGGGGGTGGTGTTGGAAGATAGAAAAGCCATTGTCCTCAGCCCCCCAAAAAAGTAAGTTTCAGTAATCTACGTTTGCAGTCCTGTAGTCTCAGATGCTGGTATGATGTGTGATTGGAGTCCTTAGTCAAACATTCAATGCAAACTGGAAGGGAATGCTTGCTCTTGTTAGAAGTATCTATTTCCTGTTGGGCGCAGTCTTGTTTATTATGCCACATTGTAACATTCTGTTCAATCTACTCTTCAATGTATAAGTGATATCTCTTCTTTTTGTACACTGTGTGCTTTTTTATGCCAATAAAAATATTGAACAAAAAGTATTCACTTCAACTCAGAAGCACTCAGCAGTGGCATGAGTGATCCAGGTCGATGGTGACAAACCGCAGAATAGCCCTTTGTGTGATGCGTCTTAATAAAGGTAAATGGGCCACCTAGTAGGTGCTGGCATGGTGTGTAACTAGAGCACCGATTAAACAGGTAGTCCTGAGCATCATCACACAAGCACTCGGTGGACCGCTGTGTGTACTTTCTCCTGTCGCCTATGCTGAGCTCAGCAGCTGTGACAGATGAGAACACACACTTCACATGTGCGGCCTAAAGGAACAAGATGGCGCTCCCTCCCGTGGCACTATGGAGCATTGGTCCCAACAGCTGCTCCATCCCCACAATAACACGGGATGAAGCCATCACTGGCTGCAGGTGATTTAACAAACTTCTTCTAAATGCGATTGTGGACTTCATTGTTTAAACAGAAAAGGAGCCCTGTCTGGTAGGTACGTGTTGGCATACTGCTATACCCATATGGGACAACATAGTGTGCCTTTGTAAAGTTGATCTTAAAATTTAAATATGAGGGTGACTGGTTGATTACAGCAACGTTTTCAATATATAACAGAGTAAGGGTGTTTTGTGTAAGGGGTGCAATGTGGCCCATTACATGTGGAATGACACTGTCTCCCTCACCCACTCTTTGACAGGTTCACTTGGACACACGCAGTATGAGGACCAGGTGGGATTTGAGAGAGGCTGTGGGGTGCTTAATGGTGTATGCAAAGCATGACTCTTGCTCCTGGGGATGTCTGGAGCTGTGAAGGTGAGTGTCTTCTCTCTTCCCGGGGTGGGAGGGGGTTGCAAGTGTATGGGGGGTGGTGGTGGTGGACAGCTCTCACAGGTAGGGGTGGGGCTGGGGTTTTGTTGGTCAATGTCAGGCTCTTTGTGGGGAGGGGGTGTTGGTCGGTGTCAGGATCTCTACATGGGCGGGGGGGAGCTGATTTTTGTGTTGCCTAGGGCAGCACGAAACCTAAGTACATCACTGCCCAGAAGTATCAGCTATTGTTTTGGAGTCTCAGTACTTAATTCAAGCAGTGAGGGAGGAAAGAGAAGGTAAGTATATTCTAGTGGGGATGGGGAAATAAATAAACCCATTAGGAGGTAACAGAAAAGTGACATCTGTCATACCCTTTGAGTAAAGCGGCTATATAATTACTTGTCCATCAGTCAGGTTGCTTAAACTTCCCTCTGTAGCCTCCTATCCCACACCTCTGGGTGTGTAGAAGAGTGCTTCCCCCTGTGGTTCCTCCTGACCTTGACATTACTAATGTCCTATGATGACCAGGGAGCAGGAGGAACCAGCACAGCCAGCCAAGGAACACATTATTAGACACACCAGAGGAGTTGAATAGGACCAGAGCCAGTGGCTCAGCTACAGAGAGAAGTCTCCACAAACCATGCGAGGTCCAGTCAGGTGTATAGCTGCTTTCTTCACAAGGCACTGCAATCATACAATTTATTTTTTACTTCCTCACATAGTTGTTTTGCCTTGAATGAGCAAAGCACATGTCTGCATCAGGCTCCAACATGATGGGTTTGGTAATATTTGGACAAGCCGCGTGTATGGGACATGTGTAAACTGTGTGATGGGCTCCAGGTTAGCAGGAAATTATTGCAGTAAGTTGCTATTAAGTATTACCAACCTCCAAATCTGAGAGCTGTTTGTGAAGTCAGAAAGAAGCCAGTTTCTTATTCACATAGGTATTGAAAGTGCTGCGTTTAGATTCGTACAGTTTTTTATGCATCTACTGTAAATTCAACACTATAGGAATCAATGGGTCTATACACAGACAGTCAGGTCCATAAATATTGGGACATCGACACAATTCTAACATTTTTGGCTCTATACACCACCACAATAGATTTGAAATGAAACAAACAAGATGTGCTTTAACTGCAGACTGTCAGCTTTAATTTGAGGGTATTTACAGCCAAATCAGGTGAACGGTGTAGGAATTACAACAGTTTGCATATGTGCCTCCCACTTGTTAAGGGACCAAAAGTAATGGGACAATTGGCTTCTCATCTGTTCCATGGCCAGGTGTGTGTTATTCCCCATTTATCCCAATTACGATGAGCAGATAAAAGGTCCAGAGTTCATTTCAAGTGTGCTATTTGCATTTGGAATCTGTTGCTGTCAACTCTCAAGATGAGATAAGAGTTGTGTCACTATCAGTGAAGCAAGCCATCATTAGGCTGAAAAAACAAAACAAACCCATCAGAGAGATAGCAAAAACATTAGGTGTGGCCAAAACAACTGTTTGGAACATTCTTAAAAAGAAGGAACGCACCAGTGAGCTCAGCAACACCAAAAGACCCGGAAGACCACAGAAAACAACTGTGGTGGATGACCGAAGAATTCATTCCCTGGTGAAGAAAACACCTTTCACAACAGTTGGCCAGATCAAGAACACTCTCCAGGAGGTAGGTGTATGTGTGTCAAAGTCAACAAAAAAGAGAAGACTTCACCAGAGTGAATACAGAGGGTTCACCACAAGATGTAAACCATTGGTGAGCCTCAAAAACAGGAAGGCCAGATTAGAGTTTGCCAAACGACATCTAAAAAAGCCTTCACAGTTCTGGAACAACATCCTATGGACAGATGAGACCAAGATCAACTTGTACCAGAGTGATGGGAAGAGTATGGAGAAGGAAAGGAACTGCTCATGATCCCAAGCATACCACCTCATCAGTGAGGCATGGTGGTGGTAGTGTCATGGCGTGGGCATGTATGGCTGCCAATGGAACTGGTTCTCTTGTATTTATTGATGATGTGACTGCTGACAAAAGCAGCAGGATGAATTCTGAAGTGTTTCGGGCAATATTATCTGCTCATATTCAGCCAAATGCTTCAGAACTCATTGGACGCTGCTTCACAGTGCAGATGGACAATGACCCAAAGAATACTGCAAAAGCAACCAAAGAGTTTTTTAAGTGAGAGAAGTGGAATGTTATGCAATGGCCAAGTCAATCACCTGACCTGAATCCGATTAAACATGCATTTCACTTGCTGAAGACAAAACTGAAGGGAAAATGCCCCAAGAACAAGCAGGAACTGAAGACAGTTGCAGTAGAGGCCTGGCAGAGCATCACCAGGGATGAAACCCAGCGTCTGGTGATGTCTATGCGTTCCAGACTTCAGGCTGTAATTGACTGCAAAGGATTTGCAACCAAGTATTAAAAAGTGAAAGTTTGATTTATGATTATTATTCTGTCCCATTACTTTTGGTCCCTTAACATATGCAAACTGTTGTAATTCCTACACCGTTCACCTGATTTGGATGTAAATACCCTCAAATTAAAGCTGACAGTCTGCAGTTAAAGCACATCTTGTTCATTTCATTTCAAATCCATTGTGGTGGTGTATAGAGCCAAAAATGTTAGAATTGTGTCGATGTCCCAATATTTATGGACCTGACTGTAGCTGTATTTACAAATGGAAATACGTGCTGCGCTGAGCAGTGTACACAAATGTAAGACATAACAGCATGTGGGGTCATACATATGTTTGGATTTTCTGCATGTAAATGCATGTAGACATGTGTCCACATACACTCATAAAGCTGTTTGAAGAATCGTACACGTCTCAATGTCAGCACCTTAGGTGCAAACTTTACACAATATCTTCCGTTAGCTCTGCCAGAAAGAACATACACATCCGTCCATGTGAATGAAGCCATAGTGACCCTCCAGGACAAGGGCGGACTGACAACTCATGGGGCCCCGGGCAATAGGGGATCATGGGGCCCCTTAGTCCTTGCCCAAACTCAAAAAAGCCTATGATAAAGGTACCAGGAGCATCTCATGGGGCCCCCTACTGACGCCGGGCACTCGGGCAGTGCCCGAGTTTCCAAATGGTCAGTCCGCCCCTGCTCCAGGATCTTCTACACCAGAGTTCCTCTAAAGATAGCTAGGGGGTTCAATGAGCAATGAGTGATTTCTGCATCACAGATAAGTTCCCACTGACACCATTGATCTTTTTACCTATCTGTTAGGCTGCATTCACACTTGAGTGTTTTGTAGCTTGAAGCTCGAAGCTCCAAAAAAAGCTCAAAGTTAAAAAAAAAAAAAAAAAAAAATCAATTGTTCTCTATGGTGCCTGTTCTCACCTGATCGTGCAAACAGGCACCATAGACAACAATTGATTTTTTAAGTTTGAGCAGTTTTGGAGCTTCCAGCTTTGAGTTTCAAGCCCAAAATGCTCAAGTGTGATTGCAGCCTAAGGTGGTATTTCTTCCCAATGACCACAAGTGTAAGGAGCATTCTTCCCACAGATCACCACTAATGTATCATGAGTTGTAGATCTAGAAATTGTGGTAAATACTATATAGGAGCCGTCATCTCTAGTAGCATAGCTCCATCTGCTGGCTACACAGGGAAATGGAAATTAGTAATTAATCCTAGTAGTAACATTATCTTTTAGCTGGATCTCTTACCCAACACAAGACAATGCAATCCGATCAGCCATAGACAACCATGGATAATACAGATAATTTTTTTTTTACACAAAAAAGCACAAAGTAGCACAAGAACATGTTAGACCATATAACTTGCTTTTTTATCAGCAAAAAGACCTGCAAAATGTTTATTAGAAGTTAAAGGATAAGTTCACCTTTGGGAACATGTTCCACCACCACCCTCCTGAACCGTTGATACAAGGCAGGATGGATCCATGCTTTCATGTTGTTTACGCCAAATTCTGATCCTACCATCTGAATGTCAGAGCAACCAGTCTGCCCATTCTCCTCTGACCTCTGACATCAGCAAGGCATTTTCCTCCACACAACTGCCGCTCACTGGATATATTCCCTTTTTTGGACCATTCTCTATAAACCCTAGAGATAGTTGTGCATGAAAATCCCAGTAGATCAGCAGTTTTTGAAATACTCAGACCAGCCTGTCTGACACCAACAACCATGCCACATTCAAAGTCACTTAAATCCCCTTTCTTCCCCATTCTGATGCTCGGTTTGAACTTCAGCAAGTCGTCTTCACCATATCTAGATGCCTAAATGCACAGAGTTGCTGCCATGTGATTGGTTAATTAGCAATTTGTGTTACCAAGTAATTGAACAGGTGGACCTAATAAAGTGACCGTTGACTGTATATCTAAACCTAAAAACAAACAATATAACATATTGCAGCTTACCAATTCCTTTTTTCAGGTGAGCCATCACAATAATGTATCATAAGCTGTAGATATAGTAATTTTTATTTTGTTATTTCAAGGTTCCTCTATGTTGAGAAAGGTTGATATAAAACTTTCTTTTACAAAGGTTTTATAAGCAATCAAATTGTGTAAAAAGAAAAAAAAAACAAAAAAACAAAATACTGATCACTTCCCCAAAGTAGTAAAATGTTACTATGGTAACATTATACTACTTTGGCCATAGTGTAATATGAAAAAAAAATCTTAAAAAAAGAGAAAAAAATTAATAAATTTTTTTTTAAAATTATCTTTTTTTTTTCGAACTGTCATCAGTCAGTGTACCTGATCACCGCCACACCAGTTATATGATGACGCTGTACTGCACTGGTGACAGTATGAAAACGAAAATTGTGAAAACATTTTTAATTTCTTAATTTTCTGGAAAATTATGACAAAAAAATTACAACTTCAAAAAACTCGCCATGCCTCTTATGAAATACATCGCACTGTCTACTTTGCAAATAGGGATCATTTGGGGGATATCTGTACTGTTCTGACATTTTTGGGCCCCAAGAAATTAGATTGGCTGTCAGTACTTCAGGACTGGTCAATTTTCAGATATATCCCATAGTTTGTGGACTCTATAACTTTCCTACAGACTAAATAATAAATACTGATTTGGGTTATTTTCACCAAAGAAATGTAGCAGTATTTATTTTTTAGTCTGTAGGAAAGTTATAGAGTCCACAAACTATGGGATATAGTATCTGAAAATTGATCAATCCTGAAGTACTGACGGCCAGTCTAATTTCTTGAGGCCAAAAATGTCAGGACAGTACAGTTATCCCCCGAACTACATCTTTTTGCAAAGTAGACCAAGGTATTTAATAAGAGGCATGGCAAGTTTTTTGAAGTTATAATTTTTTGGAAAATGAAGAAATGAAAAACTAAAAATTTCACATTTTTTTTTAACATCCTGTCACCAGTGCAGTACAGCATCACCATATAACTGGTGTGGAGGGAATCAGGGACCCTGACTGATGAAAGTACAAAAGAAAAAAAAAGAATATTTTTTTTTTCAAATTTTTTTTTATATTTGTATTTTTTATTACTTTTTTCTTTTTTATTTTATTGCTATAATCAAGCATTTAACTGAATTAAATTGATTCATTCAGGTTTTTTTGTTGTGATTAGTTGTGATTGGTCACAGCTAATCACATGACATAGATGGACTGTTTTAGCCCAGTCTGTACCATGTGATTACTGTGACCAATCATGAGTGACACAATTGTATACAATGGATGGCATGAAAGGAAGCCATCCATTGTTTACAATTGTCATGTGACCTGCTGTGATTGGTCCAAGTGGTCACATGGTACTGGCAATGGATCGGTACACAGACCTGTCATCGGTTGTGTCTGGGGGACACAGCCGGTGACAGTTCTCGTCACAGCGCAGCCCCACAGACACATGTGAGGTGCAATCTGGGAGGATGTCATAAGACACCCACCCGGATCGACGAGAGTCCTGCTCGCCCATCATTTTGCTATTGGCCGAGCAGGAACTGGCAAAACCACCTCACTCCACGCACATGGGAGGAGTTTGGGAAAGAATTATTGGCATAGCTTGCAGAATACTTGATACTATACTTTTATATTCCTTCAAGTAGGGACTGCAAAACTCACTCATGGGAGTCTGAGAACTTTCATGGCAGAGGTCTCAGCCATCATCAATGCCTGACCTCTAGTTCCAGTCTCAAATGACCCAGAAGACCCTACTTTGCTTACTCCAGAAACACTCCTAAGCCAGAAAACTGGAGTAGTCAGTGTTGCTCCTGGAGACTTCAACACTAAGAACTTGTATTTGCACCAATGGAGACAAGTGCAAACATCTTTTGGGATAGGTGAAAAAAACAGTACATCTCCACTGTGCAACCACGGAAAAGGTGGCAGGAAAGAAAGCTTAGTCTAAAGAAGGGCAACACTGTTTTTGTGAAGGACTGTCAATTGCAAAGAAATGAGTGTCCTCTAGGCTTTGTCACCAAAACACTTCCAAGTGAGGATGGAAGAGTAAGAAAGGTTGAAATCAAACTTCAAAGGACAAGAACAGAGAATCCAAATAGTGGTATCTTTTGATACCAGGCAGAGACATTCGTTATGATGTCCTGTCCGCAATATTAAATTTGGCCACTAGATGGAACTGAGAATAAATTTACTGTTTTACAGAAACCAGAAACTGTTTAGCTTTAAGAGCCCTGATCATCCTTCATTCTCAGAAAAGGAAACAGATGCATCCTGGGAGCTCAGACTCCATCTTAAAACCAAGGGAGAGGTAAACAGCCATACCCACAGCACGTTTTGTGGACTAAATGTATATCCCATGGTGAGCATTGACTTATTGCCATCTTCATCCTAGTTATTTCATTATGTTTCTGTATGGATCATACATTGATTGTATGTACTTCTAGTCTGTTTTTCCTAATAGTTTCACCCCACTGTTTTGTTAATAAAGCTTCAAGATTACATTCAGTCTGGTGTATTGCAGATTCTGAGGGTTTAGCTGCAAGTCAAGTACTATACAGGCTAACGTGTAGCAAGGACAAAACAAGATGTACTCCCTGAATGCATTTCATGGCATCCTTTATTAGTTTTGAATGGAATTTACCTGATTAGATGCACATATACCTGTAAGATGTGATTAACATCTTACAGAAAAATTTTCTGAAGTAGGCTACTGTGTATTATGCCAAGAATGAACAAATCTTCATCTATTCAGTTCAGATTTTCAGCACAGAAGTTGTAAAGCTGGGATAACAATCTTGAATGATAAGTCACATCGGTCTCTCTCTGAAAGATCACAACATTCAACCGTATACTTCAAGTAACGTATGTAAAAATCACAGTGATTTATTTGTACTGTCAACATGCAAAGTATAAGATAAGAGATGGAAATTAATACTGCAGCTAAAATACGAGCAACTTATTGCATTCACAGTTTACCACATGCACTGTGAGATTCATATATGTACTGTATCATATGAACTTTACAGAACAGGTGGCTAAGGCATAAATGTGTAGGATTCACCAACATCAAATAAAATGGGAAGATTTGGGAAAATCAATCAAAGTTTTTCCCAGTCAAGTCAAAAACTGTGAAAACAATATACATATAAGAGTGCTGCCTAATCCAATAAGTTCAAAATGACATAAACTAAACATCCACCACACATAAATTCAATGAAATAAATAAAAAGTCCTTGATATCAAAGCTGATTATTGAAATAGTGCTCGTGCTTCTTCCACTAACACTTCGTGGTTCATTCTCTGTGCTCCCCACCAGTGCCCCTCTCACTAACCAGCTGTAGTGGACTCTTATAATGAAACAAGAGTCCACGAGCAGAGCCCTCATATTCCTTCTGTACTGAAATGTATTGTAATTGTATTGTCTCCCTTATATTGTAAAGTGCTGCGCAAACTGTTAGCGCTATATAAATCCTGAATAATAACAATAATCACACTTCGGTGGGGCAAATGAAGTTCCACTGAATCTTGTGGTCCTCCTGGGATTAACTGTACTTGTCACCCTCAATCATCTTGGTATGGTAACAGAGTATGGAGCATGCGCATGCAAAAAATGGAGAAAGGCATCCAAATAGTGTATTATGTTTATTAGGTTAAAAAATATATAAGCAATTTGTTTTTTCTTATATAATATTTGTCCTGGGTGCAGATTAATTATTACATAGTTAATCAAAAACTGTGGTTTCATTGAAAGGAG